ATGGTCGATAAACACAGTACCCACATCGAAAGTCGATGGGAAGGTACGGGGCCAGATCACATGTGATCTCCGGACATTCCTCCCTGCTGTTCATTCTGGGGTTCCTGGTACTGGGGTTCAACAGAAATATCGAGAGCTATTTGATCAATGCCGAAGTTAATAGAAAGCCTGTCGTGGGATATATTCCATAGATCGTCATTTTCGATAGTTTTGGGATTCCGTTCCTAGAATTTTGTGGTTTTTTCTCCGTTGTGCGATAAAAGGAGACTATGACGTAGAAGGTCGTGGTCTGCTATGATGTACAGCTTTGAAACAACAGTGTTCTCGGTTGGACAAAACCTCAAATTTAAATAAATAGCACAATGTAGTAGCCATAGTACTTTCCACTTCGGGATTCTCACGCCCAGAATTGAAATGAGATACTTTGGAATACGAAGTTACCATGAATTGTCGTGGTCATTACGGTGTAGTCAAACTGCCTCGCAATTCGTCTGTTCCATTAAAATCGATAGCTTCCTATGTGCTGTTCTCCAGTCTCGACATCATCAATGACTTAGGTTGACGAATAGCGTACGCCAGAACAGTCAAAGTCAGCATTAATTTACATTTCTTCCGTAGTAAGAGTCTGATATTGGTAGTCAAATTTTGAACGGAATGGTAACCAGCGCATTGTTAGAGTAGGTGTCGAACCTATTTTTTTGGATACGAATTCGAAGGACAAAAGAATGAAGCATTCGACGTTGACCAATTCTTGAGAGATGTGCCATGCATTCGACTCCATTCGCAGAATTGTAGAGGTGATTAGTTGCATATCAGGCTTGTACAATGGCTCACGACAGGCTACCTACAGTGCCCTTCCAGACAAGCCCGCTACCATTTCGCGGTATCCGGAATCACGGAATGAAGCACGAGGCGTGGTATCGAACCATGGCATCTTTAACCAATACGCTACACGTACCTTCATCTCTGATCTTCTCTCCTATATCTTACACTCATCTGATCATAAGCTTTCGTCCAAATCAGCTTTACAAGACGTCATCTGTTTACACCAAAATACACCCATAAACATAAATAAGAACATGGTTAAATATATACTTATTCAAACGATATACTGTACTCATACTCATTGTGCACTTCTTCTAATCATTGCGCTCTATCACAGGTGTTAAACAATAACGTGGTCAGTGTGAGCTCTGCCGCGCCTTGAGACCCTAAAGGCTCGTTTTGGCTGTAAATACAGCTTATTTATGTGCGTTTATGTCAGACAAACATCTCGATCTATCTTTTGAAGATATTCCCCGATGTCGTTTTGTTTGCTACGGGACCTAATCTAATGTCTTCTTGTTCACCAGTCATCTTCCCCTGATTGGCACATGTTTATTTTTTGATGTCATAGTGTCTCAGCGGCTTGGTGTTTAGTGCAACGATTAGTCTTTAAAAGACATCATTTGAGTTTCTTACATTTTGTGTAGAACAATTTCAACATGAATGAAGTACGAATTCATGCGACCGTTGTACACCACCAAGCTGAAATAACTTAAGAATCGCCAAGCAAAATACGTTAGAATGTCGATAGCGATGATTATGATGGCCTTTGCTGTTCGTTGGAAAGTCAAAGGTAACACTGTTCGTTTCTCTTTACCGACTGCCACCACTTCTTCTAAGTCATTACCCATACTTTTTGAACGTTTTAGGCAAGTGTATGATGTGGTGACCTCGATCGGTAAACTATCGAAGATAGTCTGCATCATTCACAGAAAGGGTGCTTTAAGACCTGAATGTCTTCGTGTTTGATCCATAGTCTCACTTTTTTTTACGTATTCCGTAAGCTCGAAAACAGTGATCGATTGTTTGACTAAACATGTACAGAAAGTAAAAGCGAGTTCTGCGTAGTACAAAAAGAGCGCACATAATCCAAGATCATCGGCGCCCTAGAGGAAAGGATTGCTGTACGTAGGTAGAACTATCCAAGTGAGGACTTAATAAAGAGCTGATGAAACTCTCATGGAAAAGTGAAAATTAGGAGCAAATCATTGAATTGGTTAGATGGGTAGCACACCCAAAACCTCAGTAGTCCACACTTAATTAACCTAAACATTCCGCATTGAATTTGTTTTCAGGAGTCAACATCAATATCAATTGAGGAACCGGCCGCTGAAGAATATTCACTAGTGGGAGAACCAATAAACTTTCAGAATTTGTATTCTTTCTTTGACAAGTTTACATGAGGTTGATAAACAATTACACTGCCGACTCGGATCGTCGACTCTGATGAAGACGGAGACGTCGAAACGTTAGCCGAATAAAAATTGTTCATCAACCTCATGTAAGCTTACCAAAGAAAGATTACGAGTTGATTAATGACACCAAGGTTAAAAAGAAGTCGGTATTGAAATAATCTTAACTCTTTTATTTACTGCCTATTCTTTTTAATGGCAAGGTACGTTGCGAAATATAACTTCTATAATGCTGAGATATTTGCAAAAGTCCGGACCGCATGTGTCTACGGTGCGGAACGAACGCTCTATTGTCCTTTCCGGGGAGTAACGCGTTCACCACCACACCATGCAGGTCCTTCGTTTCGCCTTTCTCTCAGCTAGTTCTATCGATCACTTGCCATCAGCAATCACCCGTCAATGAGAGTGGTCTGGGGAGCGCAAACCGGCATTGAACCCAGTTTAGCCGAGGCTGTAGTTATAATCACAGTCTTAACCTTTTTATTTGATGCCTATTCTTTTTAATGACAGGGTATGTTGTGAAATATAACTTCTCATTCAGTTCACCAGCACACTATGCGGGTCCTTCGTTTCGCCTGTCTCTCACCTACTTCTGGAGTGCTAGTTCGCATTACTCCACGGAAGGGATAATGGCGCGTTCGTTCCCCACCGCAGACACCTGCGGTCCGGAGTTTTGCAAATATCTCAGCATTATAGAAGCTATTGAAATATTTTAGAATTTGGTTAAGTTCAGAAAATCTTTTCCACTTTAAGGACTATTGGCATGGTTTTATACCGAACGAGGATACAGCTCTGATTTTAAAGAGCGACGGTGACTTTCTATTGAGGTCATTAATGAACGACAGAAATAAACCAATATGTTTATCGGTACGCGAAGGCGAGAAGGTTAATCAAAATCTTTCAAGATTTGAAACATTGCTACAAGAAAGAAAAAAGTAAACATTCAAGGTGTACAATGCCGTTGTGAGTCGCACAGCAAGCGGTGCATATGAAATTGCCGGTGTCGAATACAACACAATAAAGGACATGGTGGATGAGTTGCAGGTAATTTGACCCTATCTACCTGAACTTACAATTAACTTTATTTGTTCACAATATTATTTACAAAGGTATGAATTTTCTTGCTGTTTCCTCCCTCTCAATCACACGAAGTGTGTGTGTGTGCACCAGCATTCTCTTTTCATTTGTGCCGTTGTCTTGCATCCGTCATCCACGGTGGTGGTTTAGTTGGTGTGTTGCTCCGGCTACTGCGTATGGATCTATCACCCTCTCTTTTTGCTAATATTCTGAATGTTTTTCGAGAAGAGAGCTCCTGAAATCTTAAGATAGCTCTGCTAAGGCGTTCATAGGTCTATTTACAAGCGATCACCGGCCTGCGTAAGATGTTTTCTGCGTTGTGGCTAAAATTGTACCTGCAAGGATGTAGTTTCTGCGATTAAACCCGAAACAGATCGAGAATGGTAAACGATTGGAATCTTTACGTAAATTTCGGAATGGAATAACGTTGAAGTAAACTTGTTGAACCTAAACTTTCTGCAATATGTTGTTTCATAGTTAGGTATTCTCACAGAGAATCATTGTCATGTTGTGAACTTCTTATGGGAGAGCTGGTAGTAATAATTTTGGTTTTAAAAATGAGAATGCAGATTAATTTCATGGAAGAACTATATGTCACATTCTAGCTATGAGCTCACTAAAACAGTGTTATGTGCTCGTCCGGAGCCAGACATCACTCCTGTTGGCTCTAAGCTAGTCGATGCTAGAAATACTTTGCTGAAAAAAAATCGTGCAACATCAGAAGGATACCGTTCTCTGCTCACCTCAACGCATTGCCCTGCATTCCATATAGATATCATCAAAGCAGATAGTCTCTGTCGGCGTTGATCAGTCCCTGAGGGGTGCGCCATGCATTCGGCTTCATCAAGTGTCGTTAGAGGTGACTGAGTCTAGCCTACATAATGATTTGCGGTGGCATACCAATGTGTCGATTCAGTGCTGCTATCCTCCCAGGTCTGGTACCAATTTGTCGATCACGGAGGCATGGAAGCTTTGGTGAGCCTAAGACACGGAACCGAACCCATGTGTATGTCAGAACACCTCTAACCACTGCCCAAAATACTTGAAACAGATAATCAAGGGTTAAAAATGTTATAAATGCGCTGGCTAGAGGCTGCATGGTCCTTCAATGCGCAAATTTTCGCTAGTTGGATCCCGCATCCCGAACAATGTAAGCCATCTAACTTCTGTCGTGACAAAGTTGTTAGCAAACTTGTTTCGGAATATAGCAAAATACCGGATTAGTTAATTGGTAGGCCCAGCAACTTAGTGTACAAGCCAGACTTACATAGTTAAGTTTACGGTGCTATGAGTAGAGTGAAATGCGTAGCGCATCATTAAGGGATTGATCAACGCAGAACGCTTTGTCCTACATCCTTTTAGCACAAGCTTCCATTTTAAAGAAAACTTGGTCCTTCAAAGTGTTTAGGTTCGCAAAAGACCAATTCCGATTGAGGACGCAATGGTGGTGCTAAATTGCCCAGTGCTACGAAAAAGTTGGGAGTTAAGACATTGGTAAGCGGGCATATAAACTGAAACGAATATAGAAAAAGACAGAGAATTAAAGAGTGAAACAGAGAAAGAAGTGGAGCGATGTCTAGAAAAAGGAAGTTCTAGTTAGCGTTTTTAAACGTGAACCACCATCGAACTTCAGAACTTTCCTACTGAATTCAATCTGCAATGTTAAGCGGCTCATTCTCATTTAGTATGATTGCACTGAAGAAACGACTTGGAAAAGGATCATACGGTAGCGTCTACAAAGGTGTATTGCGAAAAGATCGACAAGTAATAGATGTGAGTCTAGATCTAGAAGTTTGGCACAAGTTTTGAAACCACCCATAATGGATGGTCAAGTGAATTCACCAGAAAATAGAAGCGAACCACAACGGAAACAAACGTCTCCATCCTATAAAGCGGATTTTCGTGACAATTTAAACGCTTTCTGCAAGAATGCGGAATAAAAAGGGAAATCTCCAATATATTATTGCTGTCTATTAAGTCACAATGGACAAATGGAAGCGGTTGGAGGGCGGAGTTCAAAGAAGGCGCTAGTCTCTCTTCAACTGTACTCCGTAATTGTTAGTCAGCTATAGTTGACATCCAAACTTCGTAATTCATTCCTGTTCTGAAATGCTTCATTTCAATCCTACCTTTGTCTTTTTTCTACTTCCCCCATTTAATACGACTTCCAAATCTGTACATGCGTGACTGGAGTTAATTTCGTGAAAGATGCAAAAACATTAAAACTCGTCCGCGATTTCAACACAGTAATGTTGGCCTTTTCGACAATAAACTCTACATATTCGATAGTTAGAAGCCTCACAGGAATTAGAACAGTACAAGCTTTTGAAGTGGCTTTGTTTTATGCATCAGAAGGTATAATGTTCCTACTATATGCTACACTTCCCATAGTTCAGCATCCAAACCCACTGCTCTAATCGTATGAAACTTACACTAGGAGTTTAAATTCCTATTTACTCATATCATACCTATCTTTTTATTCACATCATATTGTTTACTCATACCATTTTAACTCATTTTTTCTGATATCTCAGCATACTTGTGGCTATACTGAGGGTATTCCAGTATTTTTTATAAGCGCCCATTCCATTGGATAGCTGCTATCCATGGGGCAGAGTTTGGCCAGGCTGACCTCGGGATTCCAGGGAACAAAGGCTTATCCGGCAGATCTCAAGAAAGAAAAAATGTAGAGAGTGTGGTGGAGCTCGCACAATTAGTGAAGACGGGCCGTCCAACTATTCGAGTATCGAAGTATTCAAGTTGTATTCCATCTAACAATTGGAAACGAAAATGCAAAGAATTACTGGTTCAAAATTTACCTTTGTATACCTACATGGGGGCAATTCCGGCTTTCTAACAATTCCCGATAATTCTAGTATCTAGACGGATTGTCATGTTGACAACGTAGCTTTGTCGTAGAAGAGACGTTTCCTTATCGTTCTAAAGAAAAGCAAAAACTTTGCAAAAGTGCTATTCCCATCTTGAGATTGTTTACAATTCAGCCCTCCAAAAAATTCAATTTTTCCCAGGATCGACTTTGCTCTCAGCGTTGATCAATCGCTGAGGATGCACCATGCACTCGACTTCATCAAGTATCGTCTGGAAGCGATTGCATGCATATCTGGCCTTTACGATGACTTTCAGTGGCCTACCGATGTATCGAGCCAGTGCGACTACCCTCCCAGACAAGTCTGGTACTAATTTACCAACGCCGGAGGGATGGAAGACTTGGTGGGCCATAGGGGCGGGGATCGATTCCACGTGTGTGTCGCAGCGGCGCCTCTAACCACTACGCCGCATGAGCCCTCTGTGTATAAGTATATATTATAATGTATGACCTCCGGCGAAGTCCATATGCGTCCAAGTGCTTCATCAGAGGTGCAGTTAAGTTCTGGTTGTTAGAGGGATCTGAAGGGCACTCATATAGTTCACCGGTTTATTGGAAAAGACGTGAAGCCTTCGGAGACGAGCTCAAAACGCAGCCCATGCGGTCATCCCAGTTCTTTTAATGCATGCTTTGATAAAAAAGACACGTAGGAAACTGCATTCACCATAGTGTGCATAAGGATACCAAGGAACATTTGGTAAAAAATCCAGTCGTGCACAGTAGTGACAAGCATTTCATCCTTAGCCTGTCCTTGCACTAAGGCTACAAGATCGCTTGCAGTCTACGTATCATTGGTTCGCCACGTAGCCATGCCATTAACTGGGGTCATGAACCTCTACATGGGAGAAATCGAAGGCGTACACCGCTTGATTTAAAAGAGAAGTTCCTCACACTTGCTTACAAATGGTGATCCCCTCCTGCCCGGAGATTAAGGATTACCTCTTCCAGGTTTACGAATTGGCAAAAGCTTCATGAGGGCATTAATGTTGTTAGTGTTACGATCATCTTTGTTGACGTATCGTCCCGAGTCGAAAACGAGTGATTTGTAGGTGGCTGTGAAAGTTCTGAGTGACATGAGTCCAGAGAACTCGTTAGCGCTATGGCGAGAAGCACGGGTAATGCAAATGTATGATCACCCACATCTGGTACGCATGTATGGAGTGGCCAACGACACCGAGGTGAATGTCCAATTTTATCCATTGTTCCTCCACTTGAGCCAGTTTTCATGATGTTTCGTCATTAATAATAATTGTATATTTATTCTGGAATATAAATATTTATTCCCTCCCAACGGTTTACCGCCTCATCGCGGCTGGGAAGTGTTCCTGGGTGTTGGACTGCGACGTGCAGCGGGGGATTCATCCTCTGGCAGGGTCTCCCAAGCTGAGAAGGAGTCCGGCGTTTCCATCAGGAAGCCTAGCTAAAAGTAAACCAATACCAGGATCCACCACCTTCTTGGTATCAAAGTCACATGGTGGTAAATCGCCTTCTGATCCACAAGGGCTGCGACTGCCCGTGGTGGTTAAGACCTGGAGCAGACTTTGGCCAGGCTGACCTCGGGACTCCGGGGAACCATAATGGCTTAACCAGCAAATCTTCGAAAAATGGAGATTATGCTGGGGCCCGCACAACTAGTGAGGACAGGCCATTCAAGTATCAAGAAAGTATCAAGTATATTTATTCTTTCCTTGTAGAAACCTTTAGTCTAAATTTAGTCTTACAGTTCTAACGTGTATAGTCTTATAGACCAAATATATTTTCCAATATTTCCATTCCGTTACTCTCAATGAGACTTTAAAACTGTCTAGGTTATACATCTGTCTACATTAGGACTGAATTCTTTTATACCACAAGTTATGATCCTAATATAACTCAAAAGACCGACTTTCTATAAACTTCGGCATAGATAGTTGATATATTTATTTATATGATCTTAAAAAGTGATCTTCTTTAGCTGATGCGAGGTTGGCATAGGTCCTCGCTGTCGTTGTTGTTGCTGTTGTTGATGTTGTTGTTGTTGTTGTTGTTGTTGTTGCTGTTGTTCTTGTTGCTCGATGACTGACGTTTCCGCAATTTCGCCTTCCTCAGAGACGCGATGATGAAACGACGAAACGTCAGCCATCGACCAACAAGAACAGCAGCAGCAACAACAACAACAAAAACGACAACGAAGACCTATACGAACTTTGCATCAACTAAAGAAGATCAGCTTATTAGAGCATATAAGTAAATAGATTCTAACATAGATGCCGAGATTGTAGGCTTACAAAATTTAGAACGAGGTCTCATAAACACTAAAATTCGCGTAGTGAATTGGGGAGACGAACTCGTCACAACAAGGTATGACCATTGATAACTACATTTTTCAGATATTTTTGATCATCAATAGCATTGACCCAAGGCACTCTGACGAATTCACCCATTCCTCTGTTCACTTCTTTTGCCGGCACTGAATCAAGCCTCGAAACCCACCTAGGTCTCTACCCTATATGGGCTTCTTTGTCGTTATTATGCTTTCTCAGAAGAAAGTGTTAGCAAAAGAGCCGCGTTTTGGTAAGAGAGAAGGTTGCTTCACCACAACAGAATGTACATCACTTCTTCTGGCTACTGCGAGAAGCAACTATGAGGTAGTGAAAACCGAACGTACAAACCCACAATGTTCTTCCATACTGTTTGTGGGCTGCACTGGAAACTGATGTAGGTGAATTGACTTTCATGGATGGTTGCTGATATCAGAGAACATCGGCCAAGACGAAAACTGTTAGTTTCTTTGATCACCCGAACGCATATTGCTTCGGTAATTAGAATTGGTTCGAAATCTTGCGTGAAAGCCAACCTTGTGCTGTCCTCGTGTTTTCGGACCCTGAAAGAATTCATTTACGTTAACCAGTTTGTCAATAATCGCAAAACGAGACTTGAGCACTTATTTTACTTTCGGCTATCCTGAGAAATAACCAGTCTAAAACTGAAACGAAGTTTCTTCGAAACCAAGTAGGAAATAGATAAAAGGCATAGACATACTACGTTAAATCCCCTTCAGCCCGGCGCAAAAGCATAGAAAAAAACCGCTTCGTACAAACTAAGGCGCCTAGCCACCCCCGCACCCCATGTCGATAAATTGGTACCAGAACTATTTTGGAAAAGTCCTCCGAAGCATAAAAGCGACTGTCTGTGATAGAGATTTGGGAATGCTCTACTGGTGTTACTCCAAGATCGCACTGAGAATCAACTCAAGTAACACTCAACGACATTTATGAGGAAGTTTGGAATCCTTAAGTAGCAACCGGACCCACACGCAAATCCGAAAATAAATGCGAACAACTTTGTGGATGGTGGATGGAAGAGAGCGAATCGAACGAAAGAATGGCTTGCATCTGCACTATTTGTGAATGCGAACCATTTAAAGAAAGTGAAGTAAAAAATTGATACATAGTAGTGAAAGTGTGAAGGAACGAATTTCGCAGGCCATTTGAAAGTTCTGGATAGCATGTTATATTAGTAGTATCTTTACGTATTACTTTTTCAGAGGTAAATCGTTTCTTTCCAGAAGCAAGGAAGTTGTGGATTACGTTGGAGATGATTAATTTGAAATGGCCCCAGTTGACTTTTCCCTCAATATTCCTTGAGAAACTTGTGTTTTCAGCCTTTTTATCTCGTAATGGAGTTGGTGCATGGTGGTGCATTGAACGAATACCTCAAAAGGAAGGGAAAAACGGCAAAGACGTCCAGGAGAGTCAAGGTGCCGAATGTTTAAGAATTGTGCATTACACGGCTAGTATGGCGCAGTGGTTAAAGGTGCTCTGCAATAGCACGTAGTTTTTCGTTCTACCCCGCTTCTTGACTAACCAAGATAGCCATCCCTCGGGACTGTCATGCTGCAAGAATTCTCTAGGAGGATAGAAACATTGACTTGGTCGGCATAGCCTCGCAGATTATTACGTAAACCAGACATGCATTCGATCACCTCTGCAATGCTAGTAGGGTCAAATTCATGAAACGCTTTTTAGTGTTTGACTAACACCGTACGCTCTATCCTCTCTAGCATTCGTACTTTTGAAAATTCTCATTATAATGAACACTACTGCAATCCGCATGTGTTTAATGACCTTATCTCTTCATATCCTACTGTCAAAGTCTTGAAATTACTAATACTTACTTAATGAGTTATGTTGTTAAACAGAGCAACAACCGTGTAAATAGGAGGTGAACGCGCATCACTCAGTGTAAATTTCACGAAGACCACATAATAGCAAAAAACGAACTAAATATCTGTTTTTACTCTTATTTTCTGCCCACTACAATTTTTACGGCAGGGTATGATGCGAAATAGAACCACAACGTTGCTAAGATATTTAGAAAACTCCGGACCGCAGGTGTCTGTGATGGGGAAAGAACACGCTGATACCTTTTCCGGGGGCTAACGCGTTCACCACCACACCATGCGGGTTTATCGTTTCATCTGTTTCTCAGCTAGTTCTATCGATCAATACCATCTTAATACATGCTCTTTTTTAAACGTTCTGACTCAGATTTTGTACGAAGCCGCCCTTGGAATCGAATACCTTCATTCCAAAGGATGTATTCATCGAGATATCGCAGCAAGAAATATATTACTTGACAAGGTCGTCAAGGTAATCTCTTTATTGACGGCTCTTGTTAATTCGTGTTATTTTGGAACTATTCACAGATCAACTCAATTTTAAAATTACAATGGCTCTAGGACGAAATTTTACATGATTGACAAGAAAACTGACGGATTTAAATGTTTGGTTTTCGAGGTGGCCGACTTTGGTCTTACGCGGAAGTCCAAGTCCTATAAGGTAAATCCAGATAAGCCGATGAATCTACGATGGCTTGCACCAGATGTATATCACACTGGTATTGTGAGTTCTTCAGTTCTTGTGGGAGAACGAATGGGATAAAAAGCTACCATTTTTCCTTAAACGACTCATATCCACATCTATTGTGCGGATCCCAGGATATCCTACATTCCATTCAATTCCTCGCATCCATCATCCATTAAGGTCCTCCAACTTTAACGTGTGGCTTCGGCTATGCTTGAGGATTTCCCCTTGTTCATTCATGTCACTGAATGTTGGTTGAGTCGATTATCACTGGAATAAACCTGGCTACAACGTCTTCACATGGATTACAAAGAGTAAACTTTTCCCTGGACTAATTTGATGCCAATTTCCTGAACCCGGGAGGTTGCGATGCTAGGTAAACTTAATGCGCGTGCTCGTGACGATCAGACTACCTTTTGCGAAATAGGAAAATCCTGCTTCATAAAGTTCGGTATCAACTCCCCGCTCTGGAGAGATGCGAAGCTTGGACCGGCTAAGGGTCAAACTAGGACTCTGCTCGTACTACTGAACGGCATCTTTGCATCTTTACTCCTGAGCTATTCGCGTACTTACCTTTCACATAACCCTTTTTCTCCTTAAACTTGCTCATTATGGGATACTTCATTCGTCTCACCTTTTCTTCATTTTTCACTCCTTAACTTACTCATTTTTAATCGCAATATTTTAGGTTGAAAAACATACCGATGTGTACGCGTTTGGAATCACGATGTGGGAAGTGTTTGAAATTCCTTATCATATACCATATCACAAATGGGATGCAGACGAAGTAACTAAGTACTGACACTAATAAAACTAAGTGTAAAAATTTATACGAGAAGAACACAGTAGGGCTGAATTGGCTGTAAATTCAGAGCGAAAGAAACAAATTTGTTTCTTAGTTTTCAACATTTTTTGTTTCAATAAACATATATATATATGTTTATGTATTTTGTATTATGTTGTATTATTATTGTATTATGTTTATGTATATTTTATATACATATATATATATATATACATATATGTTTATATACTCGTGTAGCGCAGAGCTCGGAGACACCCTGCAATACACATGGAATCGATCCCAGTGCACCAGCCCCAGCAATTCCTCCAAATTGATACCATGGTATACCTAGAAGAATAGCAGCACTTGTTCGATACATCGGTAGGCCACCGCGAGTCACTGTGAAGGGCAGTTATGCATTCAGTCACCTCCAACGATGTTTAATCAAGTTGAATACATGATGCATCCCTCAGGGATTGATCAACGCCGAAAGCTTTATCCTTTATCCTTTATAACCAACTTAACATATTTCCTCGGAAGTTGGTTGCTTCAATAACTACCGATAATCTTTTTATGTCGACAACTACAGAAACTTGAGAACCTAGAGTCTACATAAGCATATACCTACTTGGATACTTGAATGGCTCGCCTTCAGTAGTTGTTTGTCCCATCATAATTTCCGTTTCAGAAATTTGCTGGTTTAGCCATTGTGGCTCTCTGGAGTCCCGGGATCAGCCTAGCCTAAGCATTCCTCAGGTCCGCATTGAAGCAGGCAATCGCCATTCATGTGGATTTAGGTAGGCTACCAGATGGAAACGTTGGACTCCTTCTAAACTTGGAGTTCCCTGCCGGAGTGATGAAATCCTTCTACATCGCAGCCTGACAACCTAGAAAACCTCCGAAGAGCGATGAAGTGGTAAACCGTTGGGAGGGTATACACATGTAGAACACAGATAACATTACGGACACAAAAATTCTTATAAATTAAAGTCACAACGATTGCAAGTAATCTCTACAGAATTGTTGTACAAAAATCAGAATTTTATTGCCGTAAAGCAGAAAATAAGTCGTAGTATATTGGTAAAGATCTATAGACCCTAATGCTCTCTCTTTAAAATCATACAATTAAATATAGCTGAAATATAATTGTTCAAAGTTATTATGAGCAGCCATTCCGGCCGTCCATGCACTGAAATTAATGCACTTCGTCGCGAACGTGTTAAATTCATCATCAGAGGTAAACATAACAAGCATCAACGAGATAAAAATTGCGAGGCCTACAACTAGTAAGCTGAACCCTTGCAAATATTATGTGACCCTATATAGCGCACCTTTCAACGGTTTACCGCCTCATCGTGGCTGGGAGGTGTTCTTGGGCGTCGGACTTCGATGTACATTGGAGAGATTTATCCCCACACTAGGGTCTCTCAAGCTGAGAAGGAGACCGGCGTTTCCATCAGGAGGTTTAGCTAATAGTAAACCAATACCAGGATTCACCACCGTCCTGGTATCAAAGTTACATGGTGGCAAATCTCCCTCTGATGCACATGAGCGGCGAATGCCTGTGGTAGTGAACAGCTGTGGCAGACTTGGTCTGGATGGCCTCAGGACCCCAGGGACCACAATGGATAAAGCAGCAAAACTCCAAAAAATGGAGAGTATGGAGAGGCCTCACAACCAATGAGGTCGGGCCACACAAGTATGCAAGTATATGGAACACTGACCTCTGAGAACTGAAACAAAAGTGTTGAGACCCTATTCCAAAATAACTATTTGTTCACAGAAGTTATTGCATTTTAGGTTTATAATAAAGTGGTGGAAGGCACGTACAGGCTGACTCCTCAGGACGCAATGCCATCCGAGGTGGCAAGTCTATTCAACGAATGTATTGGTGAGAAAAACACTACGCTCTAAAAATAAATATCACCTGCTCTCTTATCCCTTCAACCTTACAATTTTCTTTGAAGGTACCAGTAGAAAGCTTATCTAATGGCTTATTTATGCGTATATATAAAACGAAGGAGACGCGTTAGCGCAGTGGTTAGAGGTGCTTCGCAATACACCTGGTCGTTCGTTCGATCCCACACGCCGGGATCACCAACTCTTCCAAATTCGAAAAAAATTTACCAGACCAGTCTGGAAGAATAGCATCACTGACTTGATGCATCAATATTCTACTGCACATCATTGTATAGGTCAGATATGTATTCAGTCACCTCTACGATGCTACGAATGGAGTCTAATGCGCGGCGCATTCCTCGCGGATTGATCATCGCCTACAGCTTTATTTTCTATGTACATATAATTGTGGAAGCTTCGACGCCACGTAGAAATAGCGGTTAGCTTTATCGAATCGAATTTGATCAGTATTTCTCATGGTACAAATAAGACCGAGTCCAGGATTTTTACCTAAGATGACAATCAATAAACAAAGCTGGTTTTGTATACAACATATTTCTGTGAAACAGAGCGTTCTTATAAGTGATGCATCCTAACGAAAACCCGGTGAATGGAGGTCGTTAGCGGCTGGATCTCACAACTGCTATGTACGGCATGCAAGACAATAAGAATCAACCAAATGCTCAAACAGACCATCGAGTGCCATAAACGAAAAACCTGGTTTACATATTACACGCAAAAGTAACAAGAAAAGACTGATGAAAGGATAAAGGATAAAGCTCTCGGCGTTGATCAATCCCTGAGGTATGCGCCATGCATTCGACTTCATTAAGCATCGCTTGGAAGTGATTGAATGCATATTTGCCCTTTACAATGACTCGTGGTGGTCTACCGATGAATCAAGACAGTGCTGCTATTCTTCCACACAAGTCTGATGGTAATTTGCCGACCCCGGAGAGATGGAAAGCTTGATGGGCCATGCACGCAGGGATCGATTCCACGTGTGTGTCGCAGTGGTGCCTCCAACCACTGGACCACATACGCCACCAACTTCAGGTAAAAGAGTAGTTTTCACTCAATACAGTTTAAATGAAAGTTTTACAGTTACTCAGGATTCGCAAGAAGTAAGCGAATTACCGTAATAGGCAGTGCGCAAATTATAATTTTATTCAGAAAAATCCTTTTACAACACTATAATTCAATATTAGACATAAAGTTGATCTACACTCCACTCAAAATGAGCTTTTATATCCTTGTAGGACCAAATTTTCCAATCGGATCTTATCGAACTTCTCCTTTTTCAAGTTTTCTGCATAGCAAACGATCCAACTGTCCTTCAGTGATTTCCTTTCCTTTAGTCTTCTTTCATCTTCTTCTTCAATTTCTTTTCCTTTCCAGAATTTTTCTCTTACAGCTGAGCCGTCAATGAGACCTACATTCCAGTCAATAGTGCTGCTACTGAAAGTCTGTCTGAGGGAAAGTGATGAGCACTGACTGGTGTTACTGCAAAAGGTTATCGCCAAGGAATTTTAATGAAAACGATAACGACATTTCATCTAAACTTTAGCATAAATTGATGAGAAACATCTTCAGCCTAAAATCTTAGTAGTGATACCACTGAACAACAGAATTTGAATTGATTAACTTTATGTTTATTGATAAAAGTTAACAAAACATCTATGACACGCGTGGATAATCTATGGAAAAGCGGATGAAGACATAAATCTGGAAAGCATTTAAAAAAGTGGCATATCCACTTCAATAGACTGGACCTCAATGACAATTTGCAAAATGTTACCTTTCCATAAAACTAGATAACACCAGACAAACTTCGTAAAGTGATTACTGGTTACACCACTGATCTGCTTGGATGGTCCGCCCTCACTGGTTATGCCGGCCCCAACATAATCTTCACTTGCAGTTTTGCTGGCTTCGCCCTTGTGGTTCCCTGGAGATACGAGGTTATCCAGGCTAAAGTCTGTCCCACATCGTCACCACTTACCGCTCTTATGAATCAGAAGGGAATTTGCACCAGGATGGTGGTGGCTTCTGGTATTGGTTTACTTAGTCAGGCTTCCTGATGGAAACGCCGGACTCCTTCTCAGCTTGGGAGACCTTGTCGGTGGATAAATCCCCGCTGCATATAGCAGCTCGACGCCCAGGAACACCTCCCAGCCATGATGAGGCAGTAAACCGTTGGGTGAGGTTACAGTTCTAATACTAACAACCTGGCCTACTGATGCATCAAATCAGTGCTACTATCCTCCCAGACAGGTCTCTTACCAATTTTCCGATCCCGGAGGGATGAATGGGTTGATGTCTCTTGCAGAGCATCTTTAACCGCCACTCTACACGTGTTCCAGTGAATGATACTTTATCTAAAAACGATTGTAGCATATACTGTCGTGGACAACATTCACTGCTTTAAATCCTAGGAAAAACAAATCATATATCAAGGATCCGGAAATAAAATTATTATTATTGTAGTGGGAGTATGAGTAACACAATGATAAAGATATTCTCCAAAAATGTGCACAAGTATCTGGATCAACCATATCTCAGGCTAATCCATATTTTTTGGTACCTTAATTAGTACCAAACTGGTCTACGAAAAGCTTCGATCAATAGAGATTAGCGGCATCATGTGACGATTCTCCTTGGTAACCTAGGAAAGCCATGGTACGGACTTCCCAGTATACCATGGAGAATCGTCTGGAGCAGCATTCACCGACATTCATAGAAACAAAACCCTCGAGTAGTAGCCAAAGCCGCATACACAAGAAAGTTCAATGATCTTCGCAGATGGTGGATGCGAGGAAACGAATCGAATAAAAGAAATGCTGGAATCCAACCAATATATGGTATCGGGTCATGTAAAAGAGAAACTTAAAAGGATGAAGCTCTTGCTGTGAATCGATCGTTTTTTCCTCTAGTCCTTTTTTTCCTTAGAAATATAGCAGTTAGTGGAAATTAGGTCTTCGAGTCAGTCCTCGGCACCTTATGATCACTAACTTTGAGTAGGATGTTCGACTTCGTAGAAGTTGCCACGCGGAACTTTTTCGTACTTGTCGCAGAGCAATATCTCAAACTTGGATAATTAAACCGTTTATAACGATAATAATAATTCAAAAATAACGAAATACAAACATTGGTACAATACAGACTGCTATATTATATCATGATCAATAAATGAGGGTAATGTAGGTTAGTCTCTTTACTATAGGTACAGAGCTACATGACAGCAATGTTAATATACAACAGCTACCACATACACCAAGAGAGAACACCTTGGATTGACTACAAGGCGCATTACAGATGATGAACAGGGGAGGCGAATACGGTATTGACGTACAAGGCTCTTTAAATATCTTCTGGAGGAGGTGGTGCTTTGGCATATGCCCAGAACCTTTACCGAAAACACCCATCAGCTTGCGTCTCCAGCTCCCCTGTGATCAGATGACTGAGGACGGTTTGCCGGACAGCTTCAGGCCCCTTTGTGTTACCGTACCCGTGATGGTTTGGAACAGATGCAACACACAAAAGGTTCCGATTGTATAAAAAGAGTGTGGTTCACAAAGGATGTTTACGACAACCAAAGTTTCTCTCAACGAAGTGAAAACGTTTACATGCTGCAAGATCGCAAAGCGATGCTATAGGCCACGATTGGTGGTTACTACAGATCTACGATATGATGAAAGAATAGTAACTATTCTGGCAATTCAATGTTTTTCATCAATAAGCAGACACGAGGTTGTTAATATAGAATTTATTAGAACACAATTGCTGACGTTTCGGCGGTTTCGCCTTCTTCAGAGCCGTTTATTTGTTGTAAGTATTTAAGTTAGTTGGTGGATAGCCGCCGCACAGAGTAATACATGGTCGATAACTGTGATACTTACTTAAATACTTACAACAAATAAACGGCTCAGAAGAAGGCGAAACCGCCGAAACGTCAGCAATTGTGTTCTAATAAATTCTATATTAACAACCTCGTGTCTGCTTATTGATGAAAAACATTGAATTATCAATTAATGCCAAGGTTAACAGAAAGTCGGTCTTGGGAATTATTCTGGCAATAGTTGCTATAAGACACTTATTTGACAAGAGAAGTTGCTTTTGCTGATATATGTTGAAACAGATAGAGAGGAAGGATAAAAATAGAGAATAAAGCTCTCGGCGTCGATCAATCGCCGAGGGATGCGTTATGCATTGGACTCCATTCGTAGCATCATTAGAGGTGATTAATTGCATAACGACCTTACACAATGGTTAGTGCTGCCCTATCAACGTATAGATTCAGTGCTGCTATACTCCTATACACGTACCAACTTGCTGACTCCGGAGGGATGGAGGGATGGAGGCATGGTTGCTCTGGGGCGCGGGATCGAACCAAAGACAACGTGTGTGTTGCGAGGTACCTTTAACCATTGCGCTGCACGTACCACAAAAATAATGACATACATACTGCTCTCACAGAATATGTACCTAACAGAAACTGGGGTGTAAAAGAACATCTTTCCATCCAGAACACATATTGATAAAGTCCGGTCCTGAATGTGTTTTGTCCGCAGATTACAACTGCAACGAATAGTTCACGGCTAAATTAAATTCCTTAGTATCCCGAGCCATTCCAGTGTGAAATACAATGTCTGCTTTGATTTATACTTGATTTTTACTAGTGCATTCCTCTCCCTCAATTCCCGACTTCTTTTTTTCTAAATAATGGCTGGTTTCTTCAGAATAGTGGAAATGTTACGAAAATCATATGGAAAACCGTACGCGCACAAAAGTAAACAGCGTTTCAAGAAGTTCAGCAAAACGAAGAATTCTAAGAAGGAGGAAGAAAGGTTGGAGATGGAGTCGATTGTGGCTCGCTATGAAGATTTGCCAAAAGTGAGGAAATCGTGGATCTTAACGTTTTCAAAGTGCTAACTGTTGACTTATTTTAGGCGAATACATCCCTATTCAAATTGTTCACTGATTTTCCTCTCTCAAGTAAAACTCTTAGAGGACTGAACGAGTGTGAATATGTTGAACCTACTGACATACAGAGAGAATCGCTACCGTTTTCCCTTAGCGGATCCGATCTTGTTGGTGCGGCTAAAACTGGAAGCGGGAAAACTCTTGCACTTATCATACCGGTAAGATGTTAGTTCTTAATTGCTAGACTACTTCAGATGAGTACTGAGGGCTTGATTTAGCAGTAATGATGTACCAGTAATATGCTAGTACCAAGTCTGGCACCAATTTGCCGGCAGAGAGATGAAAGGATTGCTGAACTACGGGCGTGGGGATCGATCTCTTGTGTATTGCAGCGCGCCTCTGACCACTGCGCTACACTCACGCAAACTTTTTCCAACGAGACTGTTGAGTTGGGCATTTGAAGCCTTAACAATGGTAGAAATGATGTTGCTGTGATTTTTGGTAGAAGTCTGTAGCTGAGCTTTAATGTTTGAAGTACAACCATTACGATGCTGAGATATTTGCGAGACTTGGACACCAAGCCAAATTCGAATCGAAAATTTAATGTTTGACTTCAAATAATTGGATGAATTTCCTCGACACAAGACTCTATCCTACTTTACACCGAATTCTTTAAATTTTTTATTTATAGGTACTGGAATGTCTTTGGAGATCAGGATGGTCCAATTATTGCGGTCTTGGAGCTCTAATAATCTCTCCTACAAGGGAGCTTGCTTTACAAACGTTTACTGTGATCAATCATGTAGGGAAGTATCATGACTTTTCATGTGCGTTATTAATTGGAGGTTAGCTTTCTTTACGCTCGTAGTGTTTGTGTTGTAGTCAATATCAGTCTAAGCATTTTTCTTTAATCTATAGCTCTTTTTTTCTATCATCCTATGTTTAAGGAACTGATGTTGATTTCGAGAGGAATCGTATCGGTCGAGTAAACATTATAATATGTACTCCTGGTCGATTGTTACAACATATGGACGAAAATGAGCATTTGTCATGCGATCAACTACAGATATTAATAATCGATGAAGCAGATCGCATTCTTGATATGGGGTTCAGTCAGCAGGTTTTTCTTTATTTTTACTTCTTTCTTTAATACCTAGAGTTGTGGCGCGTATGCGCAGTCGCCCTGCAATACACACGTGGAATCGATTCCCTGCGCCCGTTTCCCACCAAGCACTCCATCCCTTCGGGGTCCGCAAATTGGTACCAAACTTATTTAGGAGGACAGCAGCATTAGCTCGATACATCTGTAGGCCACCGCGAGTTATTGTAAAGGCCAGATATGCATTCAATCACCTCCAAGCGATGCTTAATGAAGTCTAGTGCATGGCGCATCGCTCAGGGATTGATCAACGCCGAGGGCTTTTTTTAGCTTTTTTACCTAGAGTTATCGTAGATCTGTTGATGTTAATATGTGGTATTTACCAGTTCTCGATTGTCTTCAGATGAACGCGATTGTCGCCAACTTACCACGTGATCGGCAAACACTGCTGTTTTCTGCTACTCAAACTCGTAATGTTAAAGACCTCAGCCGAGTGTGTACAAAGGTATATACGTCACGATTTTATATCTGCTAAGAGTATGATAAGGTATATGTCATCTGTTTTGGAAGATCAGAACATCAATGGGCAGTTAGGATTTTCTTCAAGTTCACTTAAATTCCAGTAATTATTCGTCTTCGAGCTTTTTTTTCATTAAGGATCCCGTGTTGGTTTCGGCTCATGAACGTTGTGTTCATGCAACACCTGATGGTTTGAGACAGTCATATATGGTCTGTGAAGAGCAGGATAAAGTCAACATAATGTGGTCTTTCATAGTTAATCATAAGAAGTTCAAAATTATTATATTCGTCTCATGTTGTAAGCAGGTTAGTTGGAAAAGAAAGAAAATTTACCTAAGCTTTTTAATTTGCCGTTTTCAGGCACGGTTTCTAACTGGTGCGTTTTGTCACCTTAGGCCCGGTGTTCCAATTATGGGTTTGTGGGGCACAATGAACCAGAAGAAACGTGTTGATGTATTTCAAAAGTTCGAGAATAAAGAGGTGAATGGGTCGCAAGCTATGATTTTGCTTTCTGTCTTTCTCTTGTTTTTAAACCACGGATGTTTAACTCGTAGGCTAGTCCAGTTGGCGAATATGAAACATGGATATGAAACGTTCATGACACTATGGTAGCTTTTTATTTGCTGCCTGATACGGTTTTCCACGGCAGGGTATTATGTGAAATACAAAAATAATAATGCTTAGACATTTGCAGAACTCCGGATCGCAGGTGTCTGCGGTGGGGATCGAGCACGCTGCTTTCCTTTCCGGTGGCTAACGCGTTCACCACCACACCATGCGGGCCCTTCGTCTTTCCTATCGGCTAGTTTTTCATAAATAGAAAGCTAACATTGTGACTTCAACTATAGCGTCAGCTTAACTGGGTTAAATGCCGGTTTGTGCTTCCCAGATCAATCCCGTTGACGGGTGATTGCTGATGGCACTGGTAGATAGAAAACTAGCTTAGAGATACGCGGGACGAAGGACCTGCATGGTGTGGTGGTGAACGCGTTAAACTTCAGAAAGGGTAATAGCGTGTCCGTTCCCCACCGCAAGCACCTGCTGTGCGGAGTTTATTATATATCTCAGTGTCGTTATGACGGTATTTATGAAATTTTGAAAAATTTATCATTTATAGGCAGCCGTTATGATTGCAACCGATGTGGCCAGTCGAGGATTGGATTTTTCTGGCGTAGACTGGGTTGTTCAAGTTGACTGTCCAGCTACAGCTGAGGATTACATCCATAGGTGAAGATCTAAGAGTAGTTGTTAAGTTATTTTTAGTATTGTTTTCCGATAATGGTATACTGTTTAGAGTAGGTCGCACAGCTCGAATGAATGAAACCGGTCACGCTGTTTTATTCCTGACTCCATCCCAGGAGGAAGGAATGATTACATTGTTGGACAAAGCGAATATTCCTTTGAAGAAGCAAATGTGTGTGATTATTTGAAGTAGGAAACACCTAGTTTTTAAAGTATCATTTCAGAAAGTGATTTAGAGCAAATCCAACAGCTTTAATGGATATACGCCCGAAAATGCAAGCGGTCCTCTCTCAGTTCTCCGAGTTGAATCAGCATGCTCAAAGGGTGAGCTTTATATCTCAGCAGTTTTTCTAAGTGATTCCTTTCGTCAAAGTGGTGTTATCTCCAGGGTGTTGTTGCCTACCTTCGAAGTGTTTATACCATGCGAAATAAAAAGGTCTTCGACATCAATTCTGTAGATGTCACTGCACTCGCTTTATCTTACGGACTCGTCACGGTGCCTCGAGTACGGTTCCTTAACAGAAATAGTGCCAATGCTAAGGTAATGTCAATTAACTTTCTCAACAAGTTGGCACCAAAGGACCATCGTTTTGCTTTCAAGGACAAGAAAGACAAGAAGGCGAAGAACGAAAAACTTTACGTAGCTTCTGACGAGAAGACTTTCGAGGTGTAATATTTTTATGTAATCAGTTCATTTGGCTATAAGCTGTTACATTTCCGGCTTGCTAATCGCCTTAAATATGCTTCGCAATTCTTCCGTTTGATTTTATAAAGTTATAGGATGAAGAAGAAATACGGACGGCTAACGTTTGTGATAAGGATGATAATGTGTTAGTATTGAAGAAAAAGGATGTCTTTAATTCACTTAAGAAGGAACCAGGAATAGCAGATCGTGTGGTGCGGTTTTTTCGACCTTCTTAGTTCTTAAGACTTCGATTAGTTGTATTCTTGTTTTCGTATTTGATCTTGCTTGTTCAGGACGATGGGAGTAAAGACATTAAAGCATGTACAAGTACAAAGGTAATCACGAAATTGGCTGTGGCCAAAAAGCTGTTAAACAAGAAGATCAAAGTGAATGTGAAAAAATTGTTCGATGAGGACGGGGAAGTTGTTAAGGTAAAGTTCGTAGTTTGTATAGGTGCGTTATTAGAATTTTCGATGTTTTGCTAGGTTGATGGAGTGGAAAATCATTGTGAAAGTGCCGGTTTGGATTTGGCTTCGGCGGTAGAATCAATGAAGAAAGACAGTGCGGTTTGTTTTCAAAAGCATTGGTGTTAATTAAGATATTTTAATCCACATTAGATTTCAGGAAGACAGGAAACGCTACAAAGCGCTTATGAAAGAGAGAAAAAAGGCTGAGAAGGAACGTTTGAAGAAAAAAGGTGGTAGAATTAGGTAATATTTGCCTTCATTGTTGTGAAATTTATTAGTTAAAAAGCAATACTATCAGTAAGGTAGATACTCAAAAATGACTAGGAAAAGAATCACACTTTAGGGAAGATCTTGACATGGCTGAAGGAGGCAGTGGTATTGATAGCGATGCAGATTTATCGTTTCTTCCTGATCCGGATGAAGTACGGAAGCGATATCGAGAAAGCAGTAAGTTGATAGGACGCGATTTTGCTGCTGGCCCGGTTTTTGTTCTGTTTATTGTTGTCATAGGTTCATCAGGCGATGATGAGCAGAGTATCCCGGTTGGTTCAGATGAAACATCCTCCCCTCTACAAAAAAGGCGCATGCAAAGGAGAGAACTCGTTGATTCCGAGAAGCAGGCTCTTGCATTGCTTAATCCTTTCTAGGCATTAGCTTTTTTTGCTCGAGTTGAATTGGTTTTTATTCAGCGACCTTAATTTTGATCTGTTGTGAAATCAAATAGTTCTATTTGTTTTTGGTGTTCCGAGTCTGTGAGCCTCATATTTATAAATATTGCACATCTTCTTACTGCCGATGAAAGGTCTCCAATGTTACACCCTAGAAGCTTATTTTGTGATTGTGTACGCAATATGCTTTTTTTGCTAATATTTCCCAATTTTCTTTCATATGGCGGTATCGTATATTCCTGCCGGTCGGGTGACAGTGAACGAATTTCATAGAAAACCAGATGATGATGTGATTTACTGGAAGAGGATGAAAGTTGGTTCCTTATTCGAATCATTCGTTTTTATTTTATTGAGTGTTCTTGCAATGGCTAAACAATGGTTAAAGCCGGCCGAGCGAAGGGCGAAACGAAGGATTCGCATATTGTGGTGGTGGTGAAAATGTTAGCCCCCGGAAAGAGTAGTAGCACGTTCGATCGCCGCGGCAGACACCGGCGGTCCGGAGTTTTGCAAACATCTCAGCATCATCATGGTTGAATTTTACATCATATGCTGCCGTGAGAAAGAATGGGCAATAAATAAAGTAAAACAATGATTTGAGTTCTCATGCCATCAAGGGGTTGATACATTTGCTCAAATAACGAATAATGCTCGCTTTCAGCAACTTTCTGTGTTTCAAGAACCGTCTTCAGTGACATCTGTGGCGTTCTGCCCAAAAAAGCCTTATAATGTCGCTTCTACGAGTTCAGTACGACTTTCTTTATACGATACTGTCGTTTGTGAACCAATTAACCAATTTAGCAGGTAATTCATCAGCGGTTTTTTTTTAATCAGCTTCATTATTTTAAGGCTTAGTCGGATTTATTCTTAAGCTACTTGTGTCACACATAACTCAAGAGTTCCTTTTCTTGTTTTTAATATCTTGTAGTTCATGTTTATTTGGTTTGTTCTGTATATATTTATTATTGTCATATTGTTACTTACAGGTTTAAACGAGCTGTTTATGGCGTTAAATTTCGTCGTGATGGAGAACTGATAGGTTTGATTTTCGTTAGAACTGCACCATTTTGTCTTCGATTCACAGCTGTTTCGATTTCTACTCATTACAGTTTTATTTTCGTTCTTCCGTTTTAGCGATCGGTGGAGAGGAAGGGAAACTACGATTATTTGACGTGACTAGAACTAGTGGAGTGGGTAAGGTGTGTTTTTGACAATTACCCTGGCTTTTGCACTTGGATTTTCCTGTGGGTACTGAATTTGAAATTATTGAAGACCCCACTACGAAGCATTCGTGCGAGCCAAACAAGTTTGCGGTGTGTCGAATTTACTGTTTGCGGAAAAATGGTCTACTCTATGGCCAGTGATGGATTAGTGAAACAGTGGGATATAGCTGAAACAGGGTGACTGTTTTCTTCTCTCAGAACTTTTCCTAACAGCTAGGAGGTTTCGTCTTTAGACTGTAAAATATTTGTAGTTTCATATTCAGATCGAAGCCTGTGATTGAATTCGCTGCACATAATGACGCAATAAGAGCCAGTGCAATATCTGCTTCGAATGATAATTTGCTTTTGACGGGTGGTTACGATCATAAGGTTTGGCTGAATGTACTCTTTTGAATTTCACCTTCTACTGGTAATTGTATTTATTGTCAGGTGAAATTGTGGGATTCCCGATGTTCAAATGACGGTGCTGTTGTTGCAATGGATGCAGGGTTCCCCGTTGAAAGCGTTTTGTTCCTTAACAGCGAAAATCTTATAGCCACTGCCGCTGGTGCTGTTGTAAAGTATGACTTGAACACATTTATTGCTGTTATTCTTACCAGTCTAGAAGGTAGCTTGCAAAGTGTACTTTCCTATTGTTTTGTTGACTCAATTTCTTTCAGGATCTGGGACATAACTGTCGGTGGGCGGATGCTGATGTCACTTCAGCATCATCATAAGACTGTAACTTCTATTTGTTTGGGGACCAAAGGTGATGTACTTTTAACTGGAGGAATCGATCGAAGAATTAACGTATTCCGATTGATGAATTTCTCACTGGTTTGTTTTGGTTTTTTGGATCATCAACAGTTACGTGAGTGTTAAGGATAAATTTGGTGTACTCATGAACACTTATTTGCTTGGTGCTTACTTGAATACTTGAATGGCGCAGTTTCATGGGTCATGAAGGTCTCAGCACTTTTTCTCTACATTTCTTCTCGTCGCAGTCTTTGGTTATAGTAGTGGTCTGTTTCGAGCATGGACACCTATACGAACATCATTTCCTGTTTGTAGATCGTTTGCTTGAGGCGAATACAGCCGATTACATGAACTAGAAACACTCGTCTGCCGTTAGCATAGAGTTTTGGATCCTGTAAGTAATTTCTCTTTGTAACCATTTTGATAGCACACCTAGGTACACGTCTATGTGGTTTGTGTAATCAACGAACTATCCTCTTCTGCACCATCGGTTTTCGTAAGCTTAGTATTCTTTCGATTTATGTGCATTCCTTCATTAGTATTCCCATAAAGAAGCTTAACGTTGGTAATGCGGATGTTAAGCTGGGGTTTGCCACCAATGCATATGCATTTTTCATCGCAGTCGTCTAACTTCATTATTCACTGTATTGTGGCAATAAACAGCTTTCTTGATTTGGTGTTTCTTTACTAGGTCCTTCTTGAGGGAGTGGTAAAGTGTCGATGGAAGAACAATATTTTTGTTGCGATTAAAGCACTTGTTTGGAGCTGTTATGCATACCGGGCTTACTCCTTGCCTGACGAATGCTGAGAGAGCCTTAGTTTTCAACGCTGTCGAACACATTTTCCTGGCCCCTAAAGTTTAGAACAAAACGACGGTTGGTGTTTCCGAAGATCTTTCACCCCCCCCCCCCTATTCACGATTTGGATGTGACTTATTCGCAGTTTGAAACCCGAGCTGTAACTACCGATCATAAATCTTCTAATCAACGGACCTCATGGTCGGAAGTGGCCAATGTGGAGGTACTTGCACTGGTATAGTGGTGGTTGTGCTAATTTCCCACCTCCGCGTTTGTCAGCACAAGCAGCCGTCGTCTGTTATTGCTGTGAGGGAAGTTTGCATCTAGTAAATAGGTTGTTGTCTCGACGACGATAATTCTTATCGCAGGTTTATTCTTATCTGAGTTGCACAAAGTAGGTTCGGAAAGAGGAATCGAACTTCTTTGTTTACGAGATCTAGCGAGACGAATTCTTCTATATAGGTCGAAGTTCAACACCCACACACGTCTTAATCGCCAATGAGGAAAGAGGAAGTGATTAATAGACACAGTACTCCACCATTTATACAAACTTCGAAAGACTTAGTTTTCGTTATCAGAATCTTTGTGGGCATCAAAGGTTGGACGTTGTACTCCTATTTCAAATGCAATATGCATGCTATCACATTATAGATTGCTTATTTGGACTTAGGATGTTTTGGCGGTTTTAGTTGCATTCAATGTCAGTGGCATCACCTGTATTAGGATTGGCAATGTCTCCAGACGATAAAACAATGGTGGTCGGTATGGGTCAACTTCTTGCTGTTCACCGACGTGAACCCGAAGCAAAGGTTAGTTGTTGAATTCGCTTTTGTCTTCTCCGCTGACATTGATGAATTTCATGTACACTTGATACATTTAGAAGATGATAGCTTGCATACGAGAATTTTTGTTAGTGTAGTAAAAGATTGATAACTTTTACTTGAAATGTCTCCAAATGTGTTGTTTTTCTCGGTGGAAAGGATCATTGGTTAAATTTCACGTTTTAGGCAATTGTATCAGCGCAAATAGAAAAACGGTCAATGATTCGAACGGCGCCTCCGAAAGTGCGTATGCAGGAAGTTGGAAAACCGAAAGAATGCGTAGAAATCAGCGCAAAGTCGAGCGATCAGGTCAGATATACAGATATACTTATAGATTTTTTTTTTGTGTTAAAGTTTACTTTTGCAGCATCGACTGTCAAAAATTGATTCCTTGCTCAAAGGCTACCAACATGCTGCAGCAATTCGGAAAATGTTCCAGTGTGAGTATTGTAGGCAGCATTCGAAGTGTTTAGGAGCACTACTTCCTGCGTTTCTATAATGATTACTTCGACTGGCGTGCAGTATGATTTAAGTTATGATGGAATATTGTTTTTATTGTTTCTCCTAACTGTATTACTGGGCGTTGTAGGCTTTTGTTTGCTTCCATTGTATTTTCTTTTTCAGCTTATTATTTTCACACTAAGAAAGAAGAGGTTATTGCTTGGCTTCGAGTAATTATTCGAAGAGGAGCTATCAATCGGGCGATTGCTGGACAAGAAGATAATGTTCTAATTAATATGCTAAAGTAAGTACAGCTGCAGTTTTTGTGTTGTGTCTCTAAATTCCTAAAGTGAATACTTGGTTAAAGAGTCTGGAGCGACATTTTTAACAAATTCACATAAATATTTCGCATTTTGTCGTAATTTTACCTAAATGAGAATAAAACGATTTCTTCAAATCACCTATACCGCTGTATCAACTGCTGTCCCGTTGATCGTCGATTGACTCGAGCAGGCGCCAGTAAATCCTCCATTCCTCGCTATCGCATGCAAGAAAAGCCCAGTGGGTTGTACTGTGTTTGTTCTGTTCTAACATTTTCGCGAAGAACTCTGAACATCGGGTCAGCAGTCTTCCTGCAGTACGTTTGTTATTCCAAGGAATCCAGGTACTAACGGCTCTTGTCCATCGGTTGTCGTTCGTACACATTACCTGTCCGGCCCATCTTATCGACAGTTTTTCGGAAAAATTATTTTATTTTCAATCGTTGGCATAGATTGGGGATTGGGACTTCTTCCCTTACTTGCGTGACTTGTGAGACTCCTAGCATCGTACTTTCGATCGCGCGTTCAATAATGCTAAGTGGTCTTTTATCCTGCTTATACATCGACCAGATTTCTGACAAGTACGTTAAGGGAGGAAAAATCGTGTAGTCGAAAACATGGGCACAGAGTCGAGCGTTTTTTGTTCTCTTCACTGTATCCTAAATTCTTTTGAAAACTCCCGAAGCAGCTCGCTTCCTCCTGCTCTACTTTGGTGCTCAATCGTTCATGTTGATTTCCCCGCCTAGGTGCACGTATCTGAAGCACTCAGAGATATTCATTTCGTTGAGCGTGAATGGGCATACATATCCAATCCATTCTTCATGAACATCGTATGTGTGAGGTTTAGTCGAACCGTTATCAAAGTCGGCAAGCATTCGTTCCACCTGGTGTTATAATGCTTGGTGTTATAAGAACGATGTCATCTGGAAGCATAGTGTAATTGCCGACGATCTGTTTTCCCTCCCTTGTTGTTCCATTCCAGTGTTTACACGACGTTCTCGAGGATGGCAGGAAGTAATTTTGTCGAGATGGTATCGCCTCGCGTAACCCCTCTATTGACAGCGATGTTAATGTTGAAGAATGGTGGTATCTTGATTGTGAAATTTTCATATAATTCACGAAAAATCCTAATATGCCGAGTAGGAGTGCCTTCACTCTCCAAAGCTTTCATGACTGCTATCTCAATTGAGTCAAAGGCCTTCTTTAAATCGATAAATGTATATATATATATATATATATATATATATGTCTGTCTGTGTGTGTGAGAGAGAGGTTTTTGTACTCTCATTGTACTTCGATGAGTCCTGTTTTGGCTTGGATGTAGTCCACCGCACTGAGTCCTCTCCGGAACTCTGCTTCTTCACATGACTATCCGTCGTTTAGTGTTCCATCAGTTCGGTCCTGTTGAGGAGTACGCGAGGAAAAAGTTGTTAGACGACAGAGAGCAGATTCGGCGATAGTTGCCGATATCGTGTAGGTCACCCTTCTTGAACAATAACACGGTCTTGCTGTCTTTCGACAGAGTATGGACCTTGCATTCAGACAAATAGCGTGTGAAGAACTGAGTCAGTGTGTTCAAGAGGACTGGCGGAAGGTTCTTCAGATGTTCAGATCTTATCCAGTCGGGACCTGATGTTCGATTTTCCACCGACGAAATAGCATGTCGGATTTCGGAAGGGGGAACCGGTGGTTCGACATATCCATCCTCTTTTATTTCATATAAAGGAAGGTGGTGGCTGTTGAAGTTGCCTTTCTGGACGCTGTAAGTGTTCTGTCTGGGCGTCGGAGTACAGTCATCTTGGTTTTGTAATAGGCGGAGTTTCGATGAGCTTTGAGAATTCTTTTCCCAACCTCTGCAGTTTCAACCGTGACTGCTGCTCTTCTCTCTCTAAGATCTTCTTTTATCTCCTGTCTGCACTGTTTTGCAAGTTCGGACGTTAGTTGATGGTTGCCTGCAGCGCGTGTGATTTCGACATCTTCAGTGTTTCTGTAGACAGACGTTTCTTGGTGAGTTTCGAACTCTCAGCTTTCATAGCGCTAACATGAAGAAGTTGAATGAGCTGATCCTGTTTCTCGTCATTTTTAGAAAAAACGAATAAATCTGTTTATGGTTGTTTTGGGACCTCCTTTTTCGTATTTAATGGCTTTTTCTCGTTTTCGCGAGAAATAAAATTATGCATGAAGGAGACGATGGTCTGATCCCGCGTAGAATTTTGGGACAACAGCGAAATTGGTTAAGCAAAAGTTCTACTTGCTATAATGTAGTCTATTTCGTTATGGTAGTCCCTATTGGGTGACTCCCACGTCCAGCGTTGATGGTGGGGTTTCTGGAATTTCGAGTCACCATGGATGGTCTTGGTTACCATGATAAACTCAGACAGCCGGTGACTCTGATGGTTCATTTCCAATCCGTGGTCCCAATGTGATGTTTATCAGACTTCTTGGTCCAGTCATTACATTAAAATCTTCAATGATGATCTTAACGAATCTATGGTCTTCTCAACAGAATTTCTTCAAGTCCATATAGAACACATCGACTTCGTCTCCGTCATAGCTTGATGTCGGTGTAGACGACGAAGATTCTCTAAGCCGGTGTTGATCTACAGCTCTTCAACTGTAAACATCCGTCTTGGGTTGTTAGGTGTTCTATTGAGTCGATGTTTATAACCAAACCGCTGTTGACGAGAACGCCGACGCCCCCAACTCCTCTCCTCTGCTGTCGCAGGTTCCGATGAACAGTTCTCCGTTGTCACAGGCGGCATTGAATGGGTAGCGTCTTCTCGTCTGGGCCGCGTGATGATGTTGTACCTTGTTCTTGGCTGCATGATCAAGTCTTCTATCGAGGACTCTAGTGAAAGTGTGCGTGCATTGTACGTAAAGATCATCGCCTTAATCCTTTGGGATTTAGGCAGCCTAGAATGGCCCCGGGATTTTGCAGCCTGTCCTAGCTTGTCCTACCCAAGGCTGCCGAGTGGGGGATCTTTCGGGGTCAGGGGAATGTGGCCTGTTTATTTTGCTGTGTTTAGCTTCCGATACTTATAACTAGTTGTGCGCTCATTATGGGACCTGGCTATACTCATGGGTAAACCGTCATTCTCTCCGAATAGACAAGTAGCTTATTTGTTGGAGGCGACTCCTAACCGCCTCCCATGTACTTCCTAGTTACTTGACTGCAGACTTTTTGCGGAATTGACTCGTAGAGTCCAATCCACATAAACAAGAACGCACCCATGCCCATACATGAATATGTCCTTGCAAATACAGAAGGCATGCACCAAATCGGCACCGCAGAAACGGAGTCCATCTCCTGGGTCTAGCTGTGTCTCATGGAAGCAAAGGTAGCGTAAGGAATTTGGAGCCAGTTGGTCGTGAGGTTGTGGTGTTTTCACCGCTGGTGGATGGGACGGGTACTAAAGGCAATCATGTATTTGTCCTAAGCCACATTCCGGTCTAATGAATTAACTGCATTTACTCGTTTTGCGTACGTACGCGGTTATCTTCATGCAAGTTTGCTTGCTTGGATTTTAGTTACCAAGATTTGCAAGGCAGGCTTCCCTGGAATAAAATTTATGTCTGATGCAGAGGAACCTGTCCCGCTGTCTATAACCATACCCAGTCTCTATGTTAGAGTTCGTCAAACTACACGTGACTACCTTCTTGTCAAAAACAGTGTAAACCAAAGGCTTCATGCTAAGTGCGCGATCATATTTGTATGTCGCGAGGTACCGCACCACCTTTGGCATCTCGCACTCGATGGGCAACAGTGTTGCAGGTGACATAAATGAAGAACATCAATGATTTTTTTTTATTTGTCAAAATTACCAACCTGTGTTATTACTACTATTATGGATTGCTCTTATTAGTTTTTGTTGATTTTATTTGTTGTTATTAACTATTGTTACTGTTTCTTGTTATAATTTATCATTATTATTGTTTATTGTATTGCCGTTATTACTACTAAATGTTACGGGTAGCACCGTAGTAGCGATGGCGGTCATCACGAGCACGGTGCTAATTTGATCCCACTCAGAGCCCACCAAGCCTGTTACCACTCCGGGATCGGGAAATTGGTACCAGACTTGTCTGCGAAAAATCGCTCTCTGCAATACAAGTTGGAACGCCCTAGCCCAGCTATCTCGGGAATCTAGGCAGAATCACTCGACAAGCATTCTACGAGATTCAAGATGAAAAGGAAAGTCCTCAAGCAGCTGCCGAAGCCACACGTAAAAGGTGGAAGACCTTTGTGGATGATGAATTCGAGGAAACGAATCGAATGTGAGAACTGCCGGAATCTGCACAGTAGATGTGAACGACGTACGGTGTAAAATAAAATAAATAAATAATAAGTATTGTAGCTAATGATCGTCATCATTATTATTAGAATTAGCAGCTATAGATCCATCATATGGCTGAGAGAAAGGCGAAACGAAGGACTTGCATTGTGTGGTGGTGAGCGCCTTATCCCGTAGAAAGGGTAACAGCATATTCGCTCCCCACCGCGGACACCAGCGATCCGGTGTTTTGCAAATATCTCAGCATCACTATGGTTATATTAGCTTTTTTACTATAATTATCAATATTGCTATCATTATTGCCACTGTTATTGCTATTATTTACTATTATTACTATTATTCTTGTTATCGTTTTTGGCCGGTTAGGTCCGAGATTACGGGGCGCGTCTCCACGTGGCCGATAGGTTGTTAGTCGTGGACCAAAAGCCATCTTTGCTCCCCTGAGA